TAAGTAATTAAATCATCCATCATCAACATGCAAATTCAATTAGAATTTCATACTGATTAAATCCTTAGCATAATCAAAATCAGGTAAATAACTGAGCATATTATACTACTAATACACGATCAAAATCATATAATATCTATTTAAATTGCTAGAAGAAATTTAAACAATTAAATCATCAAATAACCATATGCAAATTTATATAAAATTTCATATTATTCCAATCCTTAACATATGCACGTAAATTATGCTTCTTAGGATTTAAACATGTCAATTAATATTATTTTAAACCCCCATCATCAACCAACCATCACTGAAATCCCAAACAGTAGCCAAATTCCGCATCCCAGGTAAAGCCCCTGCTCTACTCCTGCTATCCTCCATCTTCTTCATCTCCGGCGACTTTTGGACATTTCCGATCGCTCCGTTAAGGTCCCAACGAAGTCTCATACAATTCCAAATAATTATTTGAATACATTATGCATCTTAAACACCAATTAAAACAAGTTCTCATGTAATAAAATTCAAGATTTAGCAAGAATACAAAATAATACATAAATTTGTTTTAATTCAATTCAAGCATGCATACAAAGTTAATTTATTATCTAATTAACCCTGGAATCTCATAGGCATGTATAGAACACGAAATCTAAGGGAAAGAGTTGGAAGAAAAACTTGCCTCTAGGTTTCGGATTGAAACCTTAACCTTTTCTTCCTAGCTTTTTCGGCGATTTTTGGCCGCCGTCGAAGCCTCTTACTGCTCTGGTTCCAACCCCTGAACAGCCCTCAATCTTCCTCCTTGGTCTGGCCTTAAGTCCTTGGCTAAAACCCTAGTTACTGCTCTCTTAAAAACTCTCTGTTTTCTCTCAAACCTTCTTTACTCCAATAGTATGTGAATAGGGTTCTAAACCCTTGGCAGACATAAGGCATATATATATATATACATATATGCTACACTAAAACCCTAATCCTAATTATACCTTAAGATTAATACAATAAAAGGAAAAGGAAAATAAAATATAAATATAAATATACATACATATACTAAGTATGATAAAATGTGACTGTATATACATATACATATATATATATACATATACATATATATATATATATATATATATATATATATCCTAATTATCATAATTTTACTATTAGTAATAAATAAATACTAATAATAATAATTAAATTATCCTTACATATATATACCCATATATATATATATACAAACACAACCATCCATGGGTAATTATCCATACCCATCTAGCCTCCTATCCAACTAGTCTATTGGGCCCATTGGGCAGTCCATTACTACTATCAAAATCCAACTCCTTTTTAAACTAAAATAAAAATAAAAATAAAATAATTAATTGTTTAAAACTAACAAATAATTTACAAACAATTTTCACACAATTAAACAAGCAATTCTCACACTATCAATCAATTAAAACACACAATTAAATCACATATTTCAAATAAACAATTAATCAAATAAACTCATAGCCTCACAATCAATTAAAAATGCACATGAAATAAATAATTAAATTTCAATTATATCTTTTTAAAAATTAGGGGTATTACACCAATGTGTAAAATTATTGTGTATTTTACATAACCTTTTTACACGGTCACAACACATATTTCATTTCTCCTCCCTCTTTCTCATTCCATTAACAAATCGACCTTATATTAAGTAAGACATGACACGTGGTTGGTTGTTATTGGGGGTTATATTTTTACACAAAAGGTATAAAACAAAAATAAATAATAAATTTTTTTTGTATAAATCTATCATGACACATCAGATTTACACAATACACACACACACACACACACACACTTAACAGTTGCCCTCTCTAATTTTTTTATTTTGTAATTATAGATTATTTGTGCATTGGACCATAACGGTTAATAGGGATGATCTATTCACCGGTGAGTAAGTAAGTCTTGTCATATTGTAATTATGTATTATTTGTTTATTTATAATTGGATCACATCAACTGTCAGTATGGACAACTTACACACCAATCAATAGACAAGTCTTATCCTTTAGGGTAAAGTACACTAACATCCCCTGAGGTTTGGCATAAGGACACTCAGGTGGAAGTTACCTGTTTTTGGGACAATGACACCCCCTTGAAAAAATTCCATCCAAACAAGGCCTTAAATCATATGAAAAGACAAAATTGCCCCTTAATATTAAATTCAAATTTATTACAAAATAACATTACATGTCAAAATGACACAATTGCCTCTCAAAATTTAACACCACAAATTAGCGCCAAGTAATGCCAGATTAACAACCCGTAATCTAATCTTCTAACCAACCACACACCAGACACCGTCTGCCTCTCTCTCTCTCTCTGCGAATCTTTCATTTCTTCTCTTCTCTTTGTATCACCATCTCTGCCTGAAACCATAGTCACCATGATCATTTCGAAACCTTAATTCTGGAGGCTGATTTTGCGATCTCGTCAAGACCAACCAGTATCTTTGTTCTGCTTTGGTTTCCACACATCTCGGGTTCTCTCTCAACACACTTTTCTCTTTATATATATATATATATATATATATATATATTAATTTATTCTTTTTTCCTAAATTATATTAATTTATTCATGTGTATATATATCTATACATCTTTATTCGGTTTTTTTATTTTATTTGTAGGTTTGATGAGAAAATCTTCCATTGAAACCTTTTTGTTAATTTACAAAAAAAATAGGGATTTTTTTTTTACAAAAATTTTGTTCCCGATTTTTTTTACAAAAATGGTGTTTCCTTTACAAAAAATATTGTAAAGAAAATATGGTCTTTTCTTTATGAGGTTTTGGTTTTCTTTATTTTCTTTACTAAAATGGGGTTTCTAGGGTTTTTTTCTGTAAATAAATCTTTGTTCTTGTTTTGTTCTTGTTTCTGAATATGGGATTTTTTTATTTTTATTTTTATTTTTATTTTTTGTAAAGAAATCTTTGTTCCTGTTTCATTATGTGGTTTACAAGAAAAATTTAAAAAAAAAAATTGGGGTTTTGTTCTTTTTCTTTTTTTTTTTTACCAAAATTTTGTTATTTTGAGAAATTGTGGCTGAATGAAAACAAATGGCTTTTTTTTTTTTACCAAATATTTTGTTATTAATTCACACATGCTATAAGATTGCATGTTTCTGACTTTCTACAACCATAGTGATTGATCTGTGAATGGTTGGTTAACACTTCGTTGTTGGATGGTTGGTTGACACTTGAATGTTAGTTATATAATGACAGATTATGTAAATTTTGGTGTCAAATGTTGGTTATGTAATGACTTGGTACAAGTTTATTATGGATTGTGGGTAGTGGATGGCTACTTTTATGAAGTTAAATCTTGGTTATGTAATATGACTGTAATGACAAGTTATGTAATTTTTGGTGCAATGTATTATTCTCCAATTTATTAATCTGTTTCAGTGTATATATATATATATATATACTCTTCATCTGTTTCAGGGGATTAATATTGGTACGCATAAATTTTATTCTCCAATTTATTAACTTGTTTTCCAATTTATTAATCTGTTATATATATATATATATATATATATATATATATATATATATATATATTCATAGGTTTCAGAAGGGTAGTTTTGTCCAATTTATTAACTTGTAAAGGTAAAAAAGTCAACTAAATAGTCAAAGGGCAATTTGGTTAATTTTTCATGTCGGTTGGCTTCAAGGTGTGTCTTTGTCCACTTTTTAATCTTTAAGGGGTGTTATTGTCCAAAAAAAAAAGTAACTTTTACCTAAGTGTCCTTATGCCAAACTTCACGAGTGTTATTATACTTTACCCTATCCTTTAATAAAACAAACTATTTTCATAAAATTTAACATATTCATGAATCACGAATATTTACTTTTATAATATGTTTGTGAGCTTAAAGATATAAGACGCAATTTGTTCGAATTCAATTATTTATTAAATTAGTTTAATAAATAAGCTTAAACTTGACCCAGTCTCTTTAATAAACAATATAACTTTTTAATCGAGCCATTATGAACGTTTTGGTTCATTTGATCTATGCGTTAGACAATTAGGCTTGGACAATTTAATATTTATAATATATATACGGAGTATTAAAAATAGTGAATAATTGAGTTTATAACAACACAAAATACATGATTGATACGTAGTAGATTAGAAATTTAAATCATTGTTATCCCAGCAAAAAATTGATAATCAAATTTTATAATTAATCAATAAAATAATGTAATAGGAAAAATGTCACTTCACATTTTGAAAGTCATAATCAATTAATGGAATAATTTAATAAGAAAGATATCACTTCACATCTTAAAAGTCAGGAAGTTTAAATTTTTTTAAGTTATTTTTACGAATTTTTTTTTAATAATTATCCAAGTGCATAAATTATTAGCGTATCTAATGACCTTATCTAACAATTTTTTATTTGATGATGGATTATAAAAATAAAAGCTTAATTTTTTTCAATAATTAGAAACTATTAATATGAGTAAATTAACCTAATCCAAGAATCAAATGTGCAAAAAAAAAACATATACTACGAGTAAATTGGTGGAATTCGAGTATTAGTGAAAGTATGAATGTATAAATCAGTAAATTTATTTAATACTCCGTATAATCTAAAAAATTTAAAATTTTAAAATCTTCATTTACCCCACCAACACCAGTTTTTAAATTGTTGGTCCGAATTCAAAAGTTGCACACTGTTTCGTCCCTTGGACCTACTAAATTCAAACTTTGGGGCCCAGTAACAGTGTCTACTAACTTACGCCGGGGGCGCAGCTACAATCTTCAAGAAATGTCCACAATCAGCAGCTACCTTGACACGTGTCACTCGCCTTGTGATTTTGACTTGGCGGAGCCACCGGAGCGAGAAATTATTGAATTCTAAAGAGAGAAAGAAAATTTACATTTCATTTCGAATTCATTTGAGTTTCATTTCACAGTTCAATTTTTATCAATACATAAACTTCCATATACGATACAATATATATGAATATATATACATTTTCCTAGAAAGTGCCAATAGAGAGGAGAGAGAATCGATATTCTTGTGAATGGAGACGAATCTCAGAAACAGAAGATGACGATGAGAAGACTTCGAGGTTGCAAGTAACGATCGGAGGATTCAAACCGATTCGGAAAGAAACCCTAATTTTTTAATTACCGTTTTGGCATAGATCTGATTGAATTCGGATCTCGAAACGGGGACGATTTTCGTTGAGATTTTGGTTCGATCTTCGATCTCTGATTGGTCAGTGTTTCAGATCGAGGAAAGAAACAATGCCTTCGCATGCGGATCTAGATCGGCAGATCGAGCAGTTGATGGAGTGCAAGCCTCTGTCGGAGGCTGAGGTGAAGACTCTGTGCGATCAGGCCAGGGCTATTCTTGTTGAAGAAATGAATGTACAGCCGGTGAAGTGTCCGGTCACGGTGTGCGGTGATATTCATGGCCAATTCTATGATCTGATCGAGCTTTTCCGGATAGGCGGGAATGCTCCGGACACCAACTACCTTTTCATGGGTGATTACGTTGGTGAGTTCCAAATTTTGATGTGTTTGATTTTGGAGTCTGAAGCTTTATCCAATATCAGGATTTTTATTTTTTTCTGCACAATTGTATTAGTAAGAATTTTTTAGGTGATTGTGTACTGTTTTTCAATATATTTGTGAATACTGAATACTGCAATTTTCTTTCTGACTATATGGACTTGTGTTTATATATTCATTTGGTTGGATGTAGAAAGTAGAAGTTTTATTAAGAAAAGCTGAACTGCGAAAATAGCATTCTGAACACCAAAAACAGCTATCTTGATTCATGCGACCAAGTCATAGCATCTTCATTTATTTGACCAAGTCATAATTAGTATTGGGTATTATATTGGGGTTGCTATAGTTTAATTTTTGAAGATCTACTGTATTTTGGGAGCTCGCGTGAATATACAAATAAGAGTTAAAGCAATAACTAAAATATGAGGTGCCCTTAGGTCTATCTTATTAAATTTTGATAATGTCAAAGTGATAGCTTGTCATAAAACCTGTTTCCCTCCTGTTGGTGTTTGAGATGAGGATCCATTGACTCTTCATTTAGCTCAACAATTTTTAGTTGATTTCATTTGATTTTCTGAAAAGTAATTGAGTTCTGGTTGCATTAGGGCAACGTTTAGTTATAGTTGATCATGGTTTGGCCTTTTGTAATAATAATTAATTTTACTCTGGTGAGGATTAATGTTGTTGATGTGAGGTACACCAAGATGAGGAGGAATCTCAATGAGATGGATTGAAGTTAAAAGTGAAGGCAATTGACCAGGATGTGCAAATTGACAAAACTGGATTTGTTTTATCGACCTGCTGATGGTTGGGAAGGCAAACAAAAAAGGATTAATTGGGAAGTTGTAATGGTCTTATAGACTACTGCATACAAGATGTATTCATGTAACCCTTTAGTTATTGTCCATAATGTTGGTTCGGCATCTAAAAAGGAGGTTGTAGTCATATTCATATCGTTTGTAAGTAAAGACATTGGATGGGTTTCTGATTGTTAATTATTTATCATTCTTTTGTCTGTGGAAGTTCATCAATAATTCGCTCTGCCTATAGAATCTTTGTCTCTTTTCTTCACTTTGCAATGGGCACCTTTTTGAAGATATTGATGTGTTCACCCTATAGTTGAACTCTTCTTCGGATGTCATAGCTGTGGTGTATTGAATTTATATGCTTAGCCAAATTTGTTTTTTATATCTTCATGCTTTTATATTAGTTTCTAGATTAATAACTGAAATTCTTGTATTCGTATCAAGTATTGCTAAATCATCCTCCTCTTTTATTTTCTTTTCCCTGATGAATTTAAAAGAGAATGGTGGGATGAATGAAGTAGGGTACTTTTAGTATTATTTGGGTGATACACACATGAAACTGAAGAGAAATATGAAACTACTGATGTAACACTGACCATGCTTTCTGAAATAGAATGCAATGGGTGTAGCTGGAATGATAATGTGGAGTTAAATCTGTATTGAGGAAGTGTGGACTTAAAAGTGAATATCATTTGTGAGACTAAAGGGTAACACCAATGGCTGGCAACAAACAATAAATTTGGTTGTGATTTGGTCATGTACCACTAAGGCTAGTGATTGCTCTAGTATGGGAACCTATATGATTCCAGTTTTTTTGTAAGTAGTAGATTGCGCATGATTAACAAAATAAATGGCTGTTAGATATAGTGGAAATGTGAAACGAGATCCTGGTAGCCTCTGCTGAACACTTGGCATTGAACATAATTCACTTTGGTTGAGTTACACTAAGGCTATGCATGTGCCATCAGTAATTATACGTCTAGTGGCTGTTAGCTAAACTATGACTGCTTCTGTTATTAAGATCTGTAGAAGGTAGCAGCTATGTATAAAGTTTTTGCTTTTGGTAAAATTGTAGTCTTCTGTTCCGACTGTGGGGGCAAGCCAACTTAATTTACTCTTCGGAGATTTTATTAATTAATATATTCCAAATTGGTTTCCCTCCTTTTAAGAATGTTAAGGTTTTTAATCATTATTCAATTTATGCAGATCGTGGGTACTATTCGGTGGAGACTGTCACACTTTTAGTGGCCCTGAAAGTTCGTTATAGAGAAAGAATTACGATCCTTAGAGGAAATCATGAGAGCCGGCAAATTACTCAAGTGTAAGACCTTACTTTTTCAAGCTTTCTCATTGTAGTTTCACAATGTAAATATATTAGCTGGTCAAAGTACGAAGTTTGAGCAAAATATTGGTCAGATGTCTATGACACGCATCCAGCTTGGAGGTTAGGGCAAGGCAAGGGGTGTTTCTCTTTCCACTATCTCTGTACCCACACAATGTGTTAAAATGTCTGAGAATGCATGCTTGTATGGGATATATAATAAATATTACTCGTGAGTAATAGAATAGGAGGGATTTCAATTGGCAGCAAATGTTGGTGCATGCGGGCGGTGAAACCTTTTTTTCTTCATAAATAATTTATATGAGAACATAACTTGTGCACCTAAATTCACTGGGGAACATTGTAGTATGAGTTTACGATAGAGGGATGAGCAGTAAGATGGTGCCATGACTACATATTTATGCGCTTATACTCTTACATGCCTCATCCTAAAGATATTAATTTTCTTTCTTCATCGTTCTTATTTTGATTTTTCTGAATGATGGAAATACAATATATCATGCTTTTAAGGAATTTGCGTAGCATACAAACTTCGAATCTAGTTTAATCCTCCTTGAACAGCACATAACTGGGCTCTTAGGGTGTAGACGGCAGTGAATGGTCAGTTACCAGATGGATTTAGTAGGTGGATTTTATCCATTTGACATGACCCATCTGTATTTAGGAAATAACTTTCAGAACACCAAGCCTGCCATACCTGTATGCTCTTTTGTCCTTTTCTCTGCTCCATAGATACGTATTCAGTATTCATCAGTTAGCTCTTATCTAGAGCATTTGTTAGATCATATACCATCATTTATTTTCCCACTGGCTTGTCCATGTAATGCCTTTAGTTCAATTCAAATTATGACTAAGGTGCAATTCGGGATTTGACACATAAATCGCTATATATGGTTTTCAATTTTTTTGTCTTGGAAGTGGTGCTACTTCTAGTGTTCCCTAAAAGTATTCATTTTTCAACTGTCACTCATCTTTTCTTTTGTTGTTAGTCATCTAGCTTGAATATAATCAATTCAGTCCTGCTTTATTAACGGACAGGTTTTTGATTTTGTACCATTAGCATGTCTACTCAAATAGGATCTCCATTTGATAGATACCCGAAAATTATACTATGGTCAGGAAATTCTTCGCCATCTGATCCATCCAATGCTAACTCAATGAGTAGAATATATCCTATCTGTTATGAATGATTGATCCACGACACAGAAGATCGTCAATTATTGGTATCTTATGCATATTAATCTTCACTATTTGACAAGTTTTTGGCCTAGTTCTACCATTGGACACCTTTTTTACTCAATATTATTCTTGTTGATCCTCCAAACGTCACTAGTTATAGTAAAGGTCAGTTGAGTTTGACAAAAAGAGCCCCAACATGTATCATGGAACTATACTTCACACACACGTGCGTGCATATACATTGATTGATGATTGACAAATATTCTTTATAGACCTTACCTAAAAAAAACTATTTTTAGAGGGAGTAGAGTTCTCTTTTACGTAAATTATACATCACATAAGGGAGTTCTTTTCCCTTGTTCATCTGTCATTTTAATTGTTTTTAATGATCTTATTTAGGAATTTGGGGATTAACTATACTTTCATTCTTATACTCTTCCAAAATGAAAGATAAAAACGAATAAAGTGAGCTTTTGATAGCTACTTAAAATAGTGCTCTAAGCTGATATGGTGCAAGTTGTGTAACTTGAGAATGAAACCAATATGGCAACTTCTGGTTGGTTGAATTTGATTCTTGAGGCATTTTGGTTTGGTCTTGGTTTGAGAAATAGATATTGATTTTAGGTTGAGATGGCAGGTTAAATCAAATCGACCTGAATATGGATCCCAGTCCTACATATAAATAATTTATACATACCACACACATAGATTTAACTTAATTTCTAACATGTACTAATGATTGGCTCATACATGAGATTCTCTCTAAATAAATGTGTAAGATGAGGGATTTGTGAATGCTATTCAAGGTAAAGTGAAAGTAAACCATACTAATTTTCATTTCTACTTTTTAAAATGATACCTACTGGATAGTAATCCAAACTTAGTCTGCATGGCAAGGATGAATCTAACTGGGTGAGACTTATGGTGAAGGAACTAAGCTGAAAGTAAAATCAGGGTTTACAACAAAATGCGAATTCTTGAAGCAGACAAAATAAAACAGTTTTACTAGATGATCCGGACCGAATGCGGATTAAAATGTGTCATCTTGAGGAGAAACATTGAAGTAGACAGAGTCAAGAAGCAATGCGAATGAATGAGTTGTTTAGTTGAGTATAAATAAAAAATATGAAAGAAAAAGTATAATTGATACTTTGACAACATAAGCATGAAATAAAAATTTGGTCATGGAAGAAGCTCATGACTTCCCTCCATTATATATTGGTAACAACTATGGCATGCATGTGCGCACACATATACACATTTATGTGTGCATACTTTTTAATGCTAACATTTTAGATCAATTTTTTGTTTGTTGTTGCCACTATGTAGAGATATCTCTAGGATGCATGGCTGAGCTCAATCACTTGGATGGATTGCAAGGCTAGATATTATAAGGAGATTGATACATATTGGAGTTGGAGGTAGCATGGATGGCAACATAGTTAAAAGTCGAGATGGGTCAAAGGCATATTGGTGAACCAAAGCCCTTCCTAAAGTTGCATTTAGCTAGAAAATGATACTTGGGAAGATACTAAACTTTGAAAATATGTAGAGGACATGTTTATAATCACCAGTGTTGTATCAAGAGTGGTGAGGAAATGGTCACTTATTTATTATTGCATTTTCCGGTGATTAGAAATTAGCGATGTTTCAGAATTTTGGCTGACTCGGCCCAACTCGGGCATCACAACCCGGATATGGCCAGAGTCGAGTCTGACTCAAGCCGATATCTTGGCCAAAATAAATTTCTCTGTTGTCTTGGCCTGTACGGCTGTGAATTTTCGACCTGGGTCTAAAACCCTATTTTCAGCATTCTTCTCTCACTCTTAAGACATAAAACCAAACCAAACCTTAAGAGACCATAGGTTTACAAATCAAGGCGCGAAACACTTGATTTTATTTATTTTGTAGATTTACGTGGTAAGTGTTTCAAACTCGAGAATAATCAATAAGTTTTCAAATTTTTAGTAGATTGTTAATATGTCTATAATATAAACATATTTCATATTAAGCATATATATATACACACACACACATATATATTGCATTGAAAAGGTAAATAAGAAAGTGACAAAAAATTAGAAAACTAATGAAATTCATTGAAATTGAAAATAATTTAAAAAATTACAAACAATTAAGAGTATATGATTTTTAATGTATATGATTTCCTAGTGAAAACTATAAGTATACTCATTTCCTACTTATAAGTTATTAGTGTATATGATTTTTTTGAATATTACATGTAGATTGTTTGTTTAATATGCATTTGTGGCGTTAAATCTAGAGCAAAATACGTATTATAACTGTCCTGTTGATAGCAATTTAAGATTTAATTTATAGGCCATTGCTTATATAGCTATGTGAAATTGTGAATCACTTTCAGTTATTCAATAAAATTCATTAAAAAGCATTAAGAACATGGTTTTATTGGATTTACAAAAAAAAAAAATGGTTTTATTGGATTCTGGAGTTGAAACTTGCGTATTGGTTCGTTTTGATCGTGTTTTTTAGTGTTGACAAAATTTCACGACCGGCTAATACCCGTTAAGCAACCCCCATTATAGCCCAAGACTGCAACACATGACCACAACCTAGATGGCAGCTATGACTGCATTTTAAAACCTAGGAAATTAGTGGTGTCATGTGTTATTATTTGGCATCCAATTGGTGATATGCTCAGTTTGGTGGAAGATGTGATTTCCAGTTGGAGAGGCTATTGGGTGAGAAGGAGAAGGGGCAGGCATCTTTGTTGTGCCTTTGGTGGACTATGTAGAGGAGGAAGAAGAATTGTTGGTCTTTTGAAGGGGGTGGACTTGCCTATTTCGAATTTGAACCATAGAATACTGAACTTCCTCTCTTTTCTTTCCTTTTCTTTTTCTTTTTTCTTTTTAATTTTTCTTTTTTCTTTTTATATCTTTTTTACTTCAGTTATTATCATTGTCGGAGATAGCCTGCTTTTATTATTTTGTAGAATTTTCAGGAAGATGATAGCTTTGTGTTGAAAGATCCTTGGTGTATTCTTGTTTGTGCACTGGTGCATGGTGCACCTCCTTTAACGCTTTCTAATAATACTCCTATGTAGTAAAACGAGAAAACATAATTGGAAGTTGAGATGGTTTGGTTGTGTGCAACAACCACCATATTGCAACAGTAAGAACTGATCTGAAAATTATGATGATTGATACATATCATAGTTGTGACAGTGGCACTTATTAGTTAAGTCGACATCTGTTTCTAGATAGAACAAATTTTAAGTTGTAATTATGTATCTTTGCTTAGATTCTTGGTTCTATGCTTTCGCAATTTCAGACGGAAAATAAATATTTCATATAACTTGGTGCTTCATCATTTTGTTGGTAGGTGATGAAATACTATTTACCTGTATCAACTTTCGTTATGTTTTATATTCATTTTTGTTCTTTTTTCCCCCAGGTATGGTTTTTATGATGAATGCTTGAGGAAGTATGGAAATGCCAATGTCTGGAAGTATTTTACTGACCTTTTTGATTATCTGCCCCTTACAGCGCTTATTGAGAGCCAGGTTTGAATTGGAGGCTTTATAGACATTTTCTCTTTATTAATCTCATGAAAACCTCTAACAGTTATGCATTGTCAATCATAGATCTTTTGTTTGCATGGAGGACTTTCGCCATCATTGGATACATTAGACAATATTCGAGCCTTGGACCGTATTCAGGAGGTACATGAACAGTTGTTAAACCCCCATTTTTCTTTTTCATTTCCTTTTGACTGTATGTTCTATTCTTGAGTTTTGTATTTGTTCAACATCCATCCGTATTAGATATCAAATTTTGTTTTTGCTGTGTTCGACTCCTTACTCTATTGCTATTGTTATCTAATATACACCTGTTGTGAAAAACTGCTTGCAATTCTGTTAATTTATAAGACATGGCTTTTTACAAAGAATCTCTTCTCATTTATTGAGGTGCATAAAGACTGTACATATTAAAACAGATTCGAACTTTAAATGTCGTTTGTAAGTTCGCTAGTTGTCTACTTCCAAATATATTCTAGGATATCACACATTCTGGAGATTGTGTAGCACGGATTGGAACTTGACATGTGATGCTTGATACTCATGCAACCTTGAAGTCTTACTTCTTATTGGTGCTTGTGATCATTGTTTGTGGGATTTTCTTACTTGTACTTGTTAGCGATCTTGAATGTTCTATCATTCTTACTCATGTCAAAGGTTTCATCCAATGCTATGGATAATATTTGGAATTCTACAACTGAGATATTCTTGCTTTAACCATTTTACTTGCGTGGTCGCTGCTTAATTTGAATTATAGGCATACAAATTGCATGACCGAATGGTCTAATTCAATTTACTTTTCACCTTTTATTTGCCTGGTGTATTAGGCGGGCTTGTATTACCTCATTTGCTTTCTCTACCTCACTCTGTTCACTGATAATAATACTTATTATGTTTCTTTATGTGAAAGTTAAAGGCATCTGGTTTTACATTTTACAAACCTCATATTTCCTTCCATTGGGTTATCTGTCGTGCATTTTTCAACCTCTTTGTTTATGTTTTGTAGGTTCCACATGAAGGACCGATGTGTGATCTGTTGTGGTCTGATCCTGATGACCGTTGTGGATGGGGAATATCTCCTCGTGGGGCTGGCTATACTTTTGGACAGGATATAGCAGCTCAATTCAACCACACCAATGGACTCACTCTGATCTCAAGAGCTCACCAGCTTGTAATGGAAGGTTACAATTGGTGTCAGGTTTGTGAACTTAATTGCATTTATATTCTTTTATTATTATTATATTTTTTGTGATTTGGTTGTTTATTATTATCGTCATTCATACCTTTTGTAGGAAAAGAATGTGGTGACAGTTTTTAGTGCTCCAAACTACTGTTACCGGTGCGGGAATATGGCTGCAATACTGGAGATTGGTGAGAACATGGAACAGAATTTCCTTCAATTTGATCCAGCACCTCGGCAGATTGAACCGGACACGACACGTAAGACTCCTGATTACTTTTTGTAATTCCATACCTCCACTGGCTGTTTGTAATCCTCGCATGAGATCCATGTCTGCTGTCGGTGCATCTTAGAAGAGGAGTTTTGTTGTATGAGCCTCCTTGTCATCATCATTCTTTTGCTTGGAGTTTGCCCTGCTGCTGGATTGGATTATGTGCTCGAGAGACACAACTAGTGAGAGGCACTGACTCCTCTGTCTTGTATATTTCGAACGGAAGCAGCAGCAGTGACTTGGTATATTGTGTTCTGTAATCTTACAATTTAAGGTAGAAAGCAGATTTCGAAATGAGTGTCAGGCAATTTTCCATTTTTACTGACAATTGGTAATTGAAGATGCCGGCAATGTTTTTAAATTAATTGTCTATGGGAACAAGCTTCTCGTCATACGTTTGGGAGAGAGAAGTAGAGAAGCGTGAGATTAGTTTGCTGGGGTACGATTAATTTCTTTTTTATCATTTATTTCAGTAATTTGCATTCCTCATCTTCAATGACAAACATAATGCTGCTCTTCTTGTACCTAGGGTTTTGTTAGGCTCTCCATGTGTAGTTACAATTTGTCATGTGCATTATTTTAAAGTAGATGGACATTCAATGCAGTTCTTTCATATTATTTGATATCTTTTTTAATGTCATGAGATTTTGTTTTTCCAGCATTCCTGGTATATATTTATTTTTACCGTGCCCGTAATAAATAATATTAGGATCATGTCTATGCAGTTGTGCGAGTATGAAGAACTACCTCTTTATTGAAAATAGGCATCGTGTTTGGTTATTCAGATGCTTCTGCTTTATTTTTGTATTTCCAGTCAAACTAGGGGTGAGGGGATTCAAACACGGGCACACTTGTTCGCGGAGTTGGATGAATAAATGCCTAATAACCATAAAATTTGGTTGTTAGGCAATATGGGGAGGGAAGTTTGAAAAAGGATCTGGACTAATGATGAACTGGAAAATGTTGAAATGGAGTCCCTTGTTTAGGGGATTTTAGGAGAATTTTTCATGAGTGACTATCACACTCATGTGACGATTAGTGTGATTTTATATGCTATATTTATAGACCTTACATGAAACTCGCAATAAACAGTAAAATCGTAGCAGCATATGGGATTTGACCATGTCGTGTAAAGATGTGTGTGGTACTTTGAAACCGATATCTGCATAGAATAGGATGGAGGTCATCTCGTGTGAAATGGAGTTCACGGATGGAGTTAGGTGTTCTCCACACTTTTTCTGTGCACATCTCGTCGTGAACAGAATGATTCTGTTTGGATTTTGCTCATAAAGATTGCAAATATTTAGATTTGACATAAATGAGTGTAAATAGTGGGGAGAAGCATATTATGAGGGAGGTTTTCATCAAATAATTTTTATAAATCACTTGGAATGAAACCTCTTAATAATTTTCCTCATGGTAAGAGTTTTGGGTCGTATAATTTTCATCAAATAATGTGTATAAATCAACATGATTCAAATAGGGTATGCAAAAGGTTTTCATAACCCAACCCCAACCCCAACCCCAACCCCCCCCCCCCCCCCCCCCCCCCCCCCAAATCCAAGTAGTACCTTCATAGGTACTCTCTCTGTCATTTGCTCGTGCATATTCTTCTTCTTCTTATTATTTTTTTTTGAAAAAACAAAAAAAAAAAATTCCATCTTCTTCAATCTTACGAAATTTTCAACAAAACCTTAATGGTTTAGGTACAATTTGCGATGTGCTCTTCAGCTTTCGGTGTATTATTAGGTTTTTGTGTTAGCTTGAAAGTTTGTAAATGAAACTGGAAAAGGAAGAAAATATATTGCTACTTCAAGCATGGATTGACATTCTTTCCCTAATTTATCTTTGTAATTCCTTTACTTTAGTTGTTTTAAATCACTTAATTGCAAAAAAAGAAAAAGAAATCACTTAAAATCATGTAACTTTTGGTCATATCTGATAAAATATTTGATCAGTAGTTTGGAGTACATGTATTTCTTGCTTTTGTTTTTCCTGTGACTTTTGGTCTGCTGTCATTGGTTGCTTATTCCATTTTCATCCCTTAATTTGCTTCTCTCTCAACAGGCTTCTCCTTTACCCTTCCGTCATTCTACTCTAGTCATACCTTTGATCCAAATTGACTAGGCCTAAATTGGCATCCCGGATTGGAATGGAATGGAATAAAATGCTCATTCTAACCGTTTCATATTTTGATATATAAAGTGGAAATGACTATTTTCTTAGAATAAAAATTCATTCCACGTCTAAACTGATGAAATGGTTACTTCATCCTCAATTACAATTTTAAAAATCAAATTTCTAACAAATCATCACGTTTCAAGTCCAAAAATTACTACTACCATCATCTTCCACTACCGCTATTGCCTTCCACTACCACTACCTCCTTTCACCGCCGGCACCACAGCCTTCCCCCAAAACCACTGCCTTCCGCCACCGCCACTTCCTTCCACCGCCACCACCTTCCACCGCTGCTATTGCCCCAACACCACTGCTTTCCCCTACCAGCACCTCCTTCCACCGCCTTCCACTACTGCTATTGCCTTCCCCCAACACCTCCGCCTTCCACCACCACCACCTTCTTTCACCACCGCCACCACTGCCTTCTCCCAACACCATCGCCTTTCGCCATCACCACCTCTTTCCACCACCACCGCCACCGCCTTCTACTGCTGCTATTGCCTTCCGCCACCACCACCTCCTTCCACCGTCACCGCCTTCCACTTCTGGTATCGCCTTCCACCACTACCACCTCTTTTCACCGCCGTCTTCCCAAAACACCACCACCATCACCGTCTTTTGCACCTTCCACTGCCTTCCACCACCACTGTTTAGAATGGTGATTGTCATTTTATTCCTACATCATTTCATATTTGCAACCAAATAATAAAATGAGAAAGACCATTTCATTTCTTACTTCAATTCATTTCCGTTCGTTCTTGTTGTATCTTTTGAATACTTGTTTTAGCCTTTGAGTTTGGATTTTCTTGGTTATTTTATGTTTTATATCTTATCTTAATGTATTATTAGAGATTTTTGTCTCGCATTAAATTCGATGAGAAAGTTGATGGATATATATTCCACCCCAAATTAAAATTTTGACTTGAAGAGAAAAAAATACAGTTAGCTATAATAATATACGTTTTTTTTCTCTTCAAGTCAGAATTTCAAGTCTATATTGACAAGTGCTAACAATTATTACAACCATTTACAGAAGACAAACCTATAATAAAATATTAATATAAAATGATGATAATTAATTTAGAGAAATTGGTTAGTTATGTTTCGTTTATTGTTTCCTCCATTCATGTAGTTCAAATATCTTCTTTAAAGTTGAAGCAAGCAAGCTAGATGATGACCATGTGTTAACTTTTTGTTTGCAAATAATTCCTGAATTACAAATTGTCTATTTGAATTATTGATTTATTGTAATTAAAAACAAACTTATCACAAAAGACTATTTTATTTTTTTTCATTAAATTTGTCATTTCTTATTAAATTATTTTTGTTATCTTTTCTTTTATCTAAATATTAATTATACCATTTACCTTAATTTTATTATTAGTATCAATTTATCATAAAAATGAGAAAAAAATAAATTTATAACTACTATTTTCTACAATGATAAACTTATTATTAAAACTTTACTATATAATAAAGCTTATTATACTCAGCTTAAACTTTTTTACCGTAAAAATACCTTCTTTTTCATACAATATATTCATGAAAAGTTAATAAATTACTTAAATAAAAATACCTTATTTTTAATGCAATATATTCATGAAAAATTATAAAATTACTTAAACTGTTTGAAAATTTTCTACTTAGGATTTTATTTAAATCGTTAATTTAAAAAATTAAAGATAAATTTATGTAAATTTAATAAAGAGTATGTCATCAAATTAGTATGATTTTTTTTTTTCATAATTTATTTCAATAAAAAAAATAGATTATGTGCAATTCAATAATAAAGGGTATTATGGTCATTTAATGAAAAATAGTTAAGGTATTGGAGCATTTTGTAATAAAATATGATAATTCAGGAATATTATGCACAAAATATACTTCAAGATACTTATTTGTAAATTCGAACATAATTCATATAAATTTTTAAAATTTACCTTTTTTTTTAGTACAGATAGTAGATTAATAGATTAGTTATGGTAAGTACTCACGTCTAATCAACAATATCATTCCAACCACCTAAATGCTGATATTAGCCTCCAAAACATAAATTTAATGATGGAAGAGAAAAGTCTTATTTTGGAGTGATAGCCCTCCTTGATTGATTCTTCCTTATGTTTGAATAAACTCATCCACACAAGCATTCATTATTCCCAACAGCCGAGTGGGACATTTTTGTGTCACCAATATGGCAACCATATATTACCCCCCAAAAATAAATAAATAAATAAATATAACAACTATTATTTGTTTTTAGCACTCTCTAAGGAGAGATTTTTCAGGGGTCACCTATCATGATATTACCCCAAGTTAAGTAGGCTTAACTCTGAAATTCTGATGGGTTCACAATTTTAAAACGCGTTGTATCATAAAAAAGTGTTGAATCTATATATATTACTTGTCTTTTTCACCCCCAGGCAATAGGCATGGACCCAACATAGGACCAGTGGTGGCGGATGCTCCCTTTGAATTTTTTATATTTTCATTTTATACCTCAATTTTTTTAGAATTTATGAAGATGCCCCTACTAAAATTAAAATTCGCTCCTACTGATTTTTTTTTTTTTTCATTTTATACTTCAATTTTTTGAGAATTTATGAAAATGCCCTAACTAAAATTACAATTTACCCCACTTTTTTTTTTTTTTTTGACTTTAAATTTTTTAAAATTTATGAAGAAAACTCTATTGAAATTACAAAATAGATCCACTATATAAGTTTGTCCCCATAAATTAAAAGGCCGCCCCCTCACAAAATTTTCTGAGTTCGTCACTACCATACAATATGAAATTATGCACCTATAACTCGTCCAGCGTGACAACCTACTAATACCATCTGCACATGCTCACACACACCCATCACAAGGTCACCAAAAAAACATATATCGGTGGATGAAAAGAGCTCCCATTTTGCATGAACTGCTTCCATAAAACCTAAATAGTGACAACTTTAGTATTGTCATTGTTCAAATGATTTGGAACAAGAAGAAAAAATGTCTAAGTAACAATTAGCCAAGGGATCACACATATATTAAGAAACAAGACTATCTTCACTTGAGTAAATGCTAGTGCAACTGTATCTAAATGTATAGGGCCGAAAGGGCATTAACACAAGGCAAACCTTGGACCAATAGCATTTACAAAACTTTTGGCAACAGCCCAACAATAGAAAGAAGCTCACTCAAATGACTTCACCGCTGTATGTGTGACAAGATATTGTTGGTTAGTAACATGAATGACATAATTTCACGGGGTTTCACCGATACATGGAAGTCTTTTTCTGTTAACTTAGGCACCATATCTCCATAAAGCTTGCCCCGCATTCCGATTAGTCGATCAGAAAGCCATCGAATAGAGGCTTTTGCCTTGGTAGAGTCTGCTATTCCTTTCGAGCCAGACATTGTACACAAAAGCAGGCAAGAAGAGCTTATAAATGGAAGCAGTGACGGACTCAGAAAAATTTGCAAGGGGGCAACATTTTAATTTGCGGGACAAACTTATATAGTGGGTCCATTTTTGTAATTTCAATAGGGTTTTCTTCATAAATTTTTAAAAATTTAAAGTATAAAATGCAAAAAAAATAATTCAGTAGGGCAAATTGTAATTTTAGTTGGGGCATCTTCATAAATTCTAAAAAATTTAAAGAATAAAATATATTAAAAAAAAAATTAGTGGGGGCGAATTGTAATTTTAATGGAGGCATCTTCATAAATTCTTAAAAAATTGAGATTTATAATAAAAATATAAAAAATCCTGTAGGGGCATCCGCCCCCACAAGTCCTATGCTAAGTGCGCGTCTGGATGGAAGCTCTATTCTCTCTCTCTCTCTCTCTCTCTCTCTATATATATATATATACACACACACACTATAATATTATGTTTTTATATCTGACTCCTCCAATGTTGGGCTGCACAAGCAATCGAATAGGACTGAGAAGAGAGCATAATGTAGACTTATAGCTTATTATTTCTTCCTAGTTTGGTGGTTATTGTGTCAATTAATAAGCAGTAACTTACAATGTCATAACAATATTGTCATAGTTCTGTGTTTCACACAATGTACTTTTATGTGTAGAGAAATACTAGGGTCAAGAATCAAAATATTTATAGCACCCGCATTACTACGTATGCTGCACGAATTCAAATTAGCACATGCATATAGATTCAATCACATATATATATATATATATATATATATATATATATATTCAATGATTTGTTTTGAGGACCAATGACTTCAACAATCAGAAACCATTTGCTTCAACTTGAAGACACCAAAAGAATGATAACGATGCCAAGAAACCATTTGCTCCTTTTCTTTTTCTTTATTTATTTATTTGGAAAAAAACTCACGCACACGTTTGCCTTTCATTATGTAAATGTGAAGAGTACTACTAAATTATAATCATATGTATTTTACTCATTAGTCATTGTTACAAGGTTTGTTATTTAGGGATAAATTACATTAACCTCCTCTATAATTTGGACAAATTACACATAGATAGATCGTTGTTTATTACTTTGACCTCTCTTGAGATTTAACTCGTGTGTTGAACGATAATTCTAGTGTTTTTTTTTTTTTAACAGACATGTTGACCAAATTTTATAAAATGACAATTTTACCCTACCTTTATATAAAATGCAATATAATATATTATTATAATGTAATAGCATTACTAACTTTTTCCGCTCAGAGTCATGATCACTTTTCGGCCACCAACTAACGGGTTTAGGGGTGGTCAAAGTAATAAATGTTTGTTGAATGGTTTACAGTGTGTAATTTGTCCAAATATCAAGAGATCATTCTAACTTATTCTTTTTTAGGGAGAGCAACGTGTTTTAAAATTATAAGGGAAGTATATGTAATTATGACAAACCTCGTGGGAAGTCAGTGTAATTCAAATTTCAATAAAAAGGAAAGAAGGAACGAAAAAAAAAAAAAAAATGGTACATAGTGATAGGGATATTAAAATTATAAGGGAAGTATATGTTATGACAAACCTCATGTGAAGTCAATGTAATTCATATTTCAATATAAAGGAAACAAGGAAAGAAAAAAAAAAAAAATGGTACATAGTGATAGCGATATTAAAATTATAAGGGAAGTATATGTAATTATGACAAACCTCATGTGAAGTCAGTGTAATTCATATTTCAATAAAAAGGAAAGAAGGAAAAAAAAAATAATAATAAAAAAATGGTACGTAGTGATAGTGATAGCGGTATTAAAGTAATTTGAGGGTGATTGTTAAGAGTTTTTGAGGAAAAACAAAAATCAATATGAAAAGGAACCCTCTTAATTTCATTATGTATAATGTATTTTTAGATTTATTTACTTCCAAAAAAAAAAAATGTAGGCCTGTATAAATGTGGTTATATCTATAAATTATCTTACCAAAATAAAATGTAATTATATAAATTAAACAATTTAAACACTTGTTGTAATTAACAATTTCTTAGTGGGCCAAATACGTGCAAGTGTGTGTGTGACTGTGTGTAGTGGAATGCGGTGTACTCTTCCACGAGGTTTTCTTGGACCTACAGATATCATGGGCTTCTTATTGCCTGACCATCAAGGTTAGGTTTTAACCATTAGAGATTCAAGGTTAAAAGCTTGTGTCATGGGTTTGCAAATAGGGCTGATTAGTCTGGA